TCTATTATTGAGCAAAATGCCATGTTTCTGAAAAAAATTCAACCCCTTCCTTTTCATTAGTTGGCAATTCCACAGTTCTATTATGATTCATTATGACAAAAAAAAATTACACTTGTGAAAAAAAAGGTTACTCTTGCATTATCTGCCCAACGCTCCCAGAAAGTTGCCATTAATTGGCAACTAAATTTTTGCCAAACTAACAGGTAAACAACAGTAGCCATTCTAAAAAATGGCAGGGCAGTGAAAATTAGGTAAAACAGCATCAAATTGATGAAATTGAAAGTGCAAGAAACATCCACAATGAACCACTAAAAATTACATAAAACAAACATCCACATTGAAACATTAAAATTTCATAAAACAGCAACTAAATTAAAAACACAATAAACATCCATAATAAATACTTTTTTCTCCTTGGTCTTCTGTCCCGCAAAGTGATCTCTTTTAACTTAAAAATATATCAGAGAATTGCACAATTCTTCGTATTACAAACCAAACTGGCACTGCTCTCCATGTACATATCCACCTGTACCCACTTGAAAAAAGTCAGAGTATTGCACAAATTAACTTCATTGAATGGGCATTCCTACACTAGCTACTGCTAAGGAAAACAGCATACTTCTGAAAAAATATACTTTCTTTCTCCTTGGTCTTCTGTCCCGCAATCCACAGTGGCTATATTATAATTTGCTACAAGCCTCCCCATATTCCTCCCCCCCAAAAAAACTCTGCATAAAAATCATAACAAAACGCTCGAATTTCAAAACCACGAGAATTACTACCACCACCAAGATAGATGGTGACATTACATGCTCATTTAAGCATTACTGGGCTGTCAGAAAAATACATTTTCATTAAATTCTGAGTTGCCTACTTTGGTGACAGTAGTTTGCCCAATGATTTTTGTCAAGGTTAGTTGGATAATGTGACAGTACCAGAAAAAATACTGATCAGGGAAATGACAGTTAACTTGAAAAATTTTAAACTCATACTCAAACCTTTGTTTGGTACATGCATTTTCACATGTATGAATGAAAATACAACTAAATACACTAATACTTAATGTTAAAACCAGAGGTTCGTATAATCAGAAAACACAGTAAAAGTACCAAACTATTTAAATTTAATCATAAATAGTTTTCAAGGTTAACAAGTTTTATAATTCATTACCATTTAATTTTTTTTTTTTTTTTAACAAGAAAAGTGCAGCAAGTATCTGGCATTTAATTAACTGAGCTCAAGTAATCAAAATAATTTAAAATTTTAAAAGCATGTGAAGCCATTAATAAGTGCATTTAGGACTATGACTGCGAATAAACAAAAATTATCACCAAACAGTGTAATTTAGCACCAATAATGGATAAGCAAAATATCATAATACATTGATATGACCTTTGTTTCAGTTTTATGCAAACTTAAAATTTCGATAAACCAATTTAGTTTTTGTGAAGAAAGATATAAGTTAACTGTTGTGTACCTGTTTTTGTTTTGCATCAACAAAATATTAAATGGGACATCCCCTAAATGAAAAAGGCAGAGTATTCATAAAATTATGGGATATAGAAAGGAGTGAATTAATGGGTCTGATAAAGCTGCTTTACCTGGAAAATGGATAAACAATGGCAATGCAATATAAAAAATGACAAGCTATTTAAGATTTATATATGCCACATCCATAAATTGTATCTTTTGATTATCTAATTAAATAAACAGCAATCAGTTCTTTCAGACTTCTGTTGGCACAAGTTTGGCAGGATATCCACAAACTTTTGTGTCAATGGGATTTCATAATTGGATTAGACGTTTTATTTTCATATATTGAAGGTCTAAGAAAATATACGAGCTTTTACTCTGAAATACTATTTTTTCACAACCACTATGTTGAATATAAGCTTTTAATCTTCAAGCAAATGAGACAGCTGATTTTACAGTTTTAGACTAGAAATTTTTTCTGCTATTCCTTTAGCATTTCTACCATGAACTGCTTGTTATATGTTCAACTATCTAGAATTTTCCCTTATCCAACATTTCTGAGCTTTCCAGGTATTCGAGCTTTCACTGTATCTTTATAATGAATTTTTATATAAAATGAATATGCATTATTCTATAAAATGGATTTTTAATTAATAGTAAAATGATATAATAGCAGATTCATTGGATAAGTATTATGCAGATTATTGGATATATGTTTAAGCTATCACTTAGCATCAAAAGTTCTCCTTCACTGAAACCACATTTCCCTCATATCAAGTTCAGTACAGATCTGTTCTGGTCTTATTTTTGAGAAACAGATTCCTACTAGCATACAGAGGAATTAAAAAGAGTTTTCATATGGAAGGCAATCATAGGGAATAACATCAAGGTAGGAAAAAAGAATTAATTTTAAAAATGAAAGAGTAGAATTAATAGATATACTTAATAAGCACTGAGCTAGTGAAAAACTATACATATTATATTTAACCCGTATGGCCGTAAAAAATCGCCAAACTATTGTTGATGCCAATGCTGCCAAAAATAATTGCGGCAACCCTAATAATTGCGGCAAGAAAGAAAGTATACTAGTAAATAACTATTTAAGATTGATGTTTTAATTTAGATGAAAGGTTAATTTCATATAATATTTTTTTATTATTACAGTCAAAAGTCGTTAATTCGGACACCCATAATCCGAAATGATCTATAATCTGGACCTCAAAGCTACAAGCTTTCTGCGCATGTGTCGCGTTGACGCATATGCATTGGCTTTTGCGCATGCGCATAAGACCTTTACGGCTGCAAATATGCATGTGCGCATGCGTGTTTAATGTATAACGGACAGTATAAGCTAAGCTAAAATTATCTAATTCAGTTAACGTTGCAGATTGCATTGTTCCTTAATCTTCGAATTGGATTCGGCTTATTATTTTTTGCAGACTGTTTGAGCAATTTTATAAAAGTAAGCTTGAACTTTCGATTATGTGTGTGTGTGTGATTATGGCAAAGCCTCGAGGGCTATCTGCCTAACAGGAGGGATACCTTCGTGGAGGACTTTCTAAGGGAAACTGGCTCGTATACACATTACACATGGAGAAAACCACGAAAATGCCCATGCAGCCAGCCCGTCCGTGGGATTCGAACCTCGGAGCAAACTACCAGTGTTCAGCGACTTTACCGCTCGGCCGCTGGTGGGCCCTTTCGATTATGTCAAATAGAATTTCCAATATATATTTACTAATATGTAAAGGATCTACAAAGCGAAAGTATGTTTCGAAGTGCATTAAACAGAAAGTGGAATTGCTGCAAAAAATGGATAAAGGCATATCCTTTGATTATCTAATCATTCCGAAATATGTTTATCAATTTCACGCTGCTCTGCGGGGGGGGGAGGGAAATGATGCGGCGCGCAATGAATTGGAAGTTGATCTGTCAGCACTATCCTTATCTTCAGGGCAGGTGTTTTTATTTCATTTGGCTTATAATTCCTTACTAAATGTAGTATTTCATCTCGATGTACTCCGTCTTTGATAGATTTTAAATCAAGTTCCTCGTCATTATAATTCGCTTTCGATAGTGAAGAAAGGGACAGAGAGGTTATTGAAAACGAAAAAATTTCAATTGACAAATAGTCGGTATTCTCGACACAGCAATTATAGGACTTGAACAGCAGACTTTGTAACTGAACAAGGAATTATGTCTGTTTAATAGAATTAAAAGAGAAAGTATTATCACATGAAATGAAAGCAACTTAAAACCAACTTACATTGAAAGAAATGTTTAATAAAGTAAACAAATAAATATTAACCTTTTTCTTTTTGTAAATTTTGATACCCTTTAGATCATAATTGTTCTTTATTTCATAAATTACGGTTTCATACTTTTAATTTTATAATCTCTGCATGCCATCTTACCAGATTTAAACTGATAACCTATAATCCGGAATCGCCGAAGTACCGACGAGTCCGGATTAACGGATTGTATAATTTATATGAAAAAGGCTAAACATGACTGAATGGAAGCATAAAAGTAAATAACTATTTCGGATCATTATTATAATTTATATAAAAATTGCTAAACATAACTGAATGGATGCCTGCATCGCTATTTCGCTATCAACTTATCACTAAAGCATAATTTCATCTCGTTGGTTGTTCAAATGTAATTTTCTATAATAAATGATGCCTTCTCTGAAAATAGGTCGATGTGTACATAGATAAAGTCAAGGGTGTGCGCAGTGTCATTTTTGTGCAATTCTAGGATATTTTTCTAAGTGAAAATAGGTCGATGTGCACATGGATACCGAGTATGTACAATTCTTAAAAATGTGTCAAGCAGTGGGTGATTCTGCACTTTACCCAAAATTCTATTGCCATGTTTTCGTCATGGGCAATTCCCAAATTGTTAAATCTATAGGATATCAAAAAAAGGATTAAAAATCAAAAAAGTATTTAAAAATTAAACTAGTATTTCAATGGCGTCTTAAGAAATATAGAACTATATAAACTTACACAATCGGAAATCAGCGCGTACGCTAGATTTGGCGTGCTGTTAAATGGGCGCGTTTGCGCATACATTTTCGCTGCCATTTTTTTACAGCCCTCGAAACCAAATAGTACCCTTGTGGGTTATCTACTGTGCAGCAACTTTTAAATGGAAGTTAATGCTAAAAATACTAAATATTACTGAATCTTTTGTAATAAACAAATATTATATTTGATGAATTATAATCATACACTATATTTTACTAAAGTTATAATAATAATAATTTCCAAGGATATTTTCCAAGCACTTTTTCTCAGAGATATTTTCTTTTTAATATTCTGAGATAATAAGTATATATTGTTTTCTATGCAGAATACTTTTGTGAGAAATTAAAGATTACATATACAAAAACAAGTACTTGAGAATTATGATGAAATATGAAATTAAAACTGAGAGTTAAAGCTTGGTGAACTGTTAATAAGAATTTTACTAAATGAATTCTTAAAAAGAACAGTAAGAGAATTAAAAATCATGCAAGGTACCTCTTTTCAAATTCTTCACATAAGGCTGCTGTTCTTTGATAAAAGTCAGATGCCATTATACTCTTTTGAAATGTATACCTGATTAGAACTGAAAGAGGAAGCATAAAATCATTTTAACTCATAATTAAATTTTAAACAGAAAAACCAGTCTCTATATTCACAAGCAATAAAACTATACAAATCATTATATACTCCAATACAATGTCCAGTAACAGAATGATTTATACAGTGGTGCCCACTGTATAAATCATTCTTAAATAAGTGTTTGTACACTTATTTAAGAGTTTCAATGAAATATTGCTTTATTCATTAATAAAAATTAATATTTCAGAATATGAATTTTTTAATAATAAATCTATTTTTAATAATAATTTTTTAATAATATTTATTTTAGCAAAAATATATTTGTTATTTTATGAACATAGTAAAAAATTTTGGAAAAGGGAAAAGCAATAACTAAAAAGTAAGAGAAAATTACCTCTAAAAATTTTTGTACACTTTTAAGAAATCTGCATATATTAGTAAATATTGTAGTAGTATTTTGTAGGATATTTTGCAATATTTCTGACAGTTTCAAACATCTGGGCAGAGTTCACTCTTTTTTTTTTTTTTTTTTTTTATCTGCATCAATGTTCCTCCATTCTTCCATTCCGTGTGCTTGGGATTCTTATAAAAAAAATTAAGTTGCTTCTGATACCCACATTTTAAACATATAATTTTAAATTATCTTTAAAAATATTTAAATGGTGAGCATGTTTATTTAAATAAAGAGCATGTTTCATTATGCAATCAATAAATACTTAATTACCTAATCCTGATGCTGACATGCACCCCCACACAAGGACACCTCCACTGCCATGCTTTACTGTTCCAACCAAGTTTTTAGAATTAAGTTACTCATTTTTTCTTCTCCATACAATTATATGCTCATCAGAACCATAGATGTTAAATTTGCTTGCATCTGCAAATAATACACAGTTCCAATATGCTTCAGGTGCATCTCATTTCCAGTGGCATTTATATAGGGAAAAATCATTCCCTATATAAATGCACTCTGGAATTTGATTTTAGATTTTTTTCCTATATAAATGCACTCTGGAAATGGGATGCACTGGAAATGAATTCCGTATATAAATGCCACTGGAAATGAAAGCAAGCAATGAATAAATTTGCTTGGATTTATTCTTTGCTTGCTTTCTTTGTTATATTTTATTTAATATTCAAAAATAGGTCGTAATTGTAAGAAAACAACAAATATCATTTGAAAATTGATCATTTTTCATCATAAGGTTGACAAATTTATCTGGAATATTGCTAAATTAGTAAATTTACGCAATTAATTCTATGGTTCAGTACGTGATAAGACATTAAAGAAGAAAATTGGAGCTAATCTTTGAAATATGGTAACAGGTAGTTTGGCGACATTTTGGTAAGGCGATAAAGGTTACTAGCTAGGACTTTAGCTGTGTACATGGATAAAGTTGAGTGTGCGCAATGCCATTTTTGTGCAATTCTGGGATTTTTTTTAAGTGAAAATAGGTCGACATGTGCATGGATGATACCGTGTATGTGCAATTCTTAAAAAACGCGGCAAGCAGTTTGCGATTCTGCACTTTCTCCCAATTTCGCACCTAATCTTCGTCATGATTAAGTACTTTTGTTCCATAAAAGTTCTAGCATAAGCGTGATTCGGCTAGCAGATTGTTGAAATAAATGTTAAGTAAAAAAAAAAAAAAAACATGCCTTTACTTCGTGAAAACAAAATGGTGTCCAAACAAAAACGCGCAGGTTGCTGTAGCAGGGTTGGTCACCAAATTTTTGCCAAAAAATCACCAAGTTACCATAATCCAAAGATTAACCTAAATTGGATCGAAAATAAAGTAAGAAGAAATCGTCTGGCAAAGTGAACTTGCCATGATCAGAGATTTATAGTTGGAAAATTTGTGAAAAATCCACATTTGAGAGTTGTAAAGATTTCTGCAGAATTTATTGAAAATTTTTCTACTTCACTTCCACCTGAAAACGTTCGACGATCAGCTGGTTTACATGGGCACTTGGCTTGAACATTTTGTTTACAAGTGCAAAAAATAGAAAACTTATTCTTTACTCCGCAAAATCAGTCGTAAATAAGCCTGAAGCATATTGGAACTGTGTATTATTTGCAGATGCAAACAAATTTAACATCTATGGTTCTGATGAGCATATAATGGGGCCCACCAGCGGCTGAGCGGTAAAGTCGCTGAACACTGGTAGTTCGGTCCGAGGTTCGAATCCCGCGAACGGGGTGGCTGCATGGGCGTTTCGTGGTTTTCCCCATGTGTAACGTGTATACAAGCCAGTTTCCCTTAGAAAGTCCTCCACGAAGGCATCCCTCCCCTTAGGCAGATAGGCCTCGAGGCTTTGCCATAATCACACACACGATGAGCATATAATTGTATGGAGAACAAAAAATGAGGAACTTAATTCTAAAAACTTGGTTGGAACAGTAACGCATGATGGTGAAGGTATCCTTGCGTGGGAGATACATGTCAGCATCAGGATTAGGTAATTAAGTATTTATTGATGGCATAATGAAACATGCTCTTTTTTTAAATAAACATGCTCACCATTTAAATATTTTTTATTAAAAAATTTAAATTTAAAATTATATGCCAAAAATGTGGGTACTGGAAACAAATTTATTTTTTTATAAGAATAAGCAGATTTTTTTAAATTATTAATTATTTGCAAATTATGCATTTTCCAAATTACCAATTTAAAAAGAAATACTAGTATTGTTAATAAATAAAAAAAATCAGTCATAAAAAAAGCTAGATGTACTTTCTTTTAGTTCATTAGAATTTTAATGTTTGTCACTTTTGAAGGGGGTGAAATTATGAATGATTAACCAACTTAATTTGCTTTCATTTTTTCGGTAATTATAACTGAATTTATCTGAATATTAAATTAATACAAAATTAACATATTAATATTGAAATTAACTTACATAAATTTATATTCTTACGTTTTAAAAATTTAAAAATAAAAATAATGGGCTGTTACAGGTCATCAAAATAACACTGATACTTAAAAAACTTAGAAACACTAACTTTTCAAAAAAGACTTTTATTTGGGGCACGGAGTATACTCCGTGAGTCATCATACTCCGTGATTTTGGGACAAGGCTCGGAGAACAGCCTTAACGCCAAAATAAAAAAGAGAAAATTTAGCGGCTGGGATGCATTGAAGATATCTAAATCGGGCTTGCGGTAAAATTTAGCATGAAAAAAGAGCGTGGAAATTAATGGAATTATATGTGTTAAAGAACTTTGTTATGTAGTTATAAATTTTAACTAAAGAATGCATTAATTATTTAAAATTAATAAACACATTTTTATAATATTTTAAATTTTAATGTTGATATATACTGTAACTTTGTATAGTTGGTGATGCGTGCCGTAGAGGGTGAAGCAATTTAAATCGTAATCATTAATGCTTCTTAAAATTATTTTTTTATGCTTAAAATCCGTGTTGTGTGATAGTTTAGTTTAGGAAATAAAGTAATTTGTGATTTTGAAATCACATGTGAAGCTCTAGAATATTTTTATCTTTTATCGCAATTATCTCCGCTGACGCGACACCGGTAACACAATTATCTTACATGAAATTGTACATTTAGATAAGAACTTTTTTTTAAATATAAATTGAGGATGTAATCAGAATAAAAGTGCTGTAGTTTCAAATTTCATAATTAAAATTATTAAGGGTGTAAGTAGCAAAAAAATATTCTGTATTTTGTGATGCATTTTACTTCAGTATATGTTTCTTTTGAGAAGAAAACTCTTAAATCAAGGAAACATTTTGAAGTGTCCTTCAGACATTCACATTTTTAAGGAAATATCTTTGCACCTTAAGAACTTTCCTGGAGTTATCTTTTATTTTCTCTTTCAGGATTTCCAAATGATGAAGTGGAATTTCTTTGTAGTGCTTTTGGCAGTTTTATTTTACTGTTATAAATCGCCCTTTTTTCATTTAGTGGATCCTGTTAGTTACAGGTAATTATTCATTAAATTTGCCTCTTATTTTAAAATAAAATTATTAGTCTTCGAATATAGAAAAAGATCGCTGTTCGATAAACCAAACAACTGAATACATTATTTAGGGAAAGGAAAAGTTATACAAAAACGTGTGAAGGAATCTTTTATCATTTAAAAAAATTTTTTTTAAAGAAAAGGCCGTAAAAATATGGTTATTTCAGAAACACAGTTTTTAAATTTAGGCCAAACAATAAGTTTCATTTTGAGGTATTAAAAGGAAAACTTAGTCATTTCTTTTGAGTTCTGTTTTTTATGTGACATATATAAAAGATCTTCATGCATCATTCAGTTTATATAATACTTAAACATACTTATGCACAGTTCTGACAATACAAAATTTATGTGGAAAGAAAATGAAATAAGTTAATTTATGTTTATCAATATCATGTGAGATGGTAACAATAGGCAAATATAATATTTAATACATGATATTGGCTAAATCTTAGAACAATCTTTGTTTGAACTCAGGTTAATAAAATATTTTAACTATTGCTGAAATTTCAATTAGAAGACTAGTAATCTTATGAAACTTAGACACGTCAACACGAAGACTTAACTTTATTGAATATGACATTTAATTCAGAAATTTCGTTCGTGCTGCGCGTAAGCTAATAAACCCAGGGCTACGAAATTTGGTATATAGTGCATCTTAACAAGAACCAGTGTACCTCGAAGTTATTTTTTTCAAAATTCGAATCAGATCTTTTGGCTAATCTGTGGAATATGGTAACAGGTAGTTTGGCAACATTTTGGTGAGGCGATAAAGGTTACTAGCTAGGACTATAGCAGTGTACATGGATAAAGTTGAGTGTGCGCAATGCCATTTTTGTGCAATTCTGGAATGTTTTTTTAAGTGAAAATAGGTCGACGTATACATGGATGATACCGTGTATGTGCAATTCTTAAAAACGCGGCAAGCAGTTTGCATTTGCACTTTCTCCCAAAATTCGCACCTAATGTTCGTCATGATTAAGCATTTTTGTTCAATAAAAGTTCCAGTATAGCGTAATTCGGCTAGCAGATTGTTGGAAAAAAATTTGTTAAAAAAAAAAAAAGCCTTTACTTTGTGAAAAACAAATGGCGTCCAAAACAAAACTAGCAGGTTGCTGTAGCAGGGTTGGTCGCCAAAAAATCGCCAGGTTACCATAATCTAAAGATTAACCGATTTTTTTTATTTTATCGCATCATTTTGAATAGTTTTATTAGTTCAGAAATGGAGTTTTGGCAACAGTTTTCTCAATGCATAGGGACTACTGTTGCTGGAAAAATGAGGGCGATAGTTTTGTGCAGTTTTTAATGTTTTTTCTTGGGTGTGGATTTGTTGAGAGAAGGCAATGGAAGTGGTTCATTTATTATTAGGATATTAATATTTGTATTAGGGATTTGCTCTCATTTCATTGTAATATTTTTTGTTTTTTTGAATTTGGTTTTTTTTTTTGTTCTTCTGGTTTTTCTGCCCTTTTGTTAAATTTTTGTGGTTTTCCCTTCAGATTCTTCCGTACATTTAAAGCCAGACTAGCTGGCCGCTACTGCTAGTATTTAATAAATTAATGAACTTTTTATAACAGTTCATGAATGATAACTCAGGAACTGCTATAAAAGTTCTACTACTGTATCCCTACTACTCATAAACCACAAGTCACATTTGAAATGAACTTTTAGTTATCAGGATTGACTTCACCATTACTTATCTTTTATTTACAAGTGTATGATATTTGTAGCATGGGTCAGTTGCAAGGCAATTTTCATTAATTTAGCAGGTGTAATATGAATATGAGATAATTTGCCCTATATAAATTCGTTACAAAGACCTTATCTACCTTAATTTGCTTAAATACAAATAAAGTAATTGTTTTAATGATAATGCTATCATTCTGAAAATAATTTATTGAAGTACTGACCTTCTTCCCCTTCTTTAAAGAAAAAGGAATTTATGTGGTGAATTGATTATGTGATTTGACCACGGTGTCAAATACCTTTGAAAATTGTTTGTCACAGAATGAAATTGTTTTATACTAATAATATCAAAGCACTAAAATTGTCATTGCAAGTCAGATTTTGTCATGAAAAGAAAGGTTTACAGAGCAGATGCTGGTTCAGAAGCTCATGCCTTTTTATTATTATTATTATTATTATAACAAACTTGTTGCATGCGTTATAAATCTTTAAATTCAGTTTAAAAAAGTCACCATATTTAATTTGAATGGAAGCATCATTAATTAAAATGTATTAAAGAACCTAAAACTACAACTTCAAAGTTTCCAGTGCTTATGGGAATTACTTTCAAAAGTAGAAACTTTTTGAAAATAATTCACATAAAAGTTAGGGTGTGTACTGTTCTCATAAGTACTTAAGTCCTTAGGTTTTTTTAAACTATTTTCAGTCCTTAAAAGTCCATATATTTTGTTCAAAATCAGGAAAAGGTCCTTATTTTACTCAATTGGATATACTTAACATTTTGGAGGAATATTTTCAGTGATGCATTGACAAATATGTATATGATGGGTTAACATATGAATTATTTCCTACTTTTTAATATAAATGGTGGATACTGGAGTTTCAGGCACGAGGCTCTGCCTCGATTGAAACATAAACATTTTGAAATAATTTCTTTTTTTGCAAATGAACAGTTCATAAAATATTACATCGAACACAGTTTTTCTCTTTTGGGGATATGAGTTCTTTTATTATGTGGCTCAACATTTTTCAACTTAATTAACATATTGGTGATATCAAGATCAGTTTATATACAAAATTCTTTTATTTGGAAATTTAATTTTTTAGAAACATAATAACATTGATAAATATTATTAAAATAATGATAATATACCAAAATTATACTTAAAAATAATATTAAAACATATTTATTTTCTCCTACCTTATTTTAAAGTGACATTACTTTCCATCTTTTTGTCTTAGGAATATTTTGGTTTTGAAAAATAAACAAATATAAGTATAAAGCATTATTTCCAAAACACTCTTTAGAAAGAAAAAAAAAAGCTATTGTAATTATTTTAAAATTAATTTTATTTGTCTTCTTTTATATTTGATCATAAGTTAGGTTTGGTTTATATGATTACGGCAAAGCCTTGAGGGCTATCTGTCTAAGGGAAGGGATGCCTTCATGGATGACTTTCTTAGGAAAACTGGCTCTTGCACATGCATGAAAATGCACATGCAGATGGCCCATTCATGGAATTTGCACCTCGGTTTGAACTACCAGTATTTTTTCAAGAGTTTTTTCCCATGTAATTCTGTCAGAATATTTAAATGTGTATAGGTTTTTCTCTTCAGAATTCACGTTACACTTTTCTTTTCTGAACTTTTTTTTTTTAAAAAGAAGTTCAGAAAAGTTCTCTGGCTTTTTTGTTCTTACAGAGGTGGTAAGAATTTTAGACCTTGCATCTTGGAATGTTTAGATGGATTTAAAGACAAGATTTATAAAACTACAATCCCAGAAAAAATGTGATGAAATGAAAATGTCTTCATGTTATTACAACATAATGGACATGTTTTATAGGAAATTTGTAGTGAATTTCTTAACTTTTGGAAAATCTTTGGAAGAACTGTGAAAACAAAATTACTAGAATTTTTTCCTTTAATTTCAGAAGTCTTTTTCTTAACATGTTTATCTTCCTTTTATTTTTTTATCTTTCCACTACACACAAGCTTTGAAGCAAGCAAAGATATTGAAAATGTGTAATTGAAAATGTGTAGGCACCTCAGTGCCTGCCCAAAATTCTAAAAATTTTGCTAGATCTTGTTATTCAGTGTTTCACAAAATTTTATAAATTCTGCCACACTGTGATTGGCCCTGACATTATATAAATTCATGTTATTAAAGAAATAAAATTGGCAATTTCTTCTATCCACTCTAATTATAAGCAGTTCTTTAGAGTAACAGAAATCTTTAATTAAATCTAAAAATTCTAAAATGAAGAGAAAACTCGTCGAAAAAGAAATTAATTTTATAAAAGAGAAAATTATTCTTCAAAGATACATTGTTGAAACATTGACTAATTAGGAGATAAAGCTGATACTAGTGGAAACATTGATTTGTTTATTGAAATGAATAAATTTAGAAAAGATGCTGAAATGGAAATTGATCTAAATTAGCTAAAAATCTGAAAATTTCACAATTGAAAAATGCATAAATATTTTTGTGGTGTTGCCACAAACGTGTTTTTTTTTATATAATGTAATTTATACGAATACATCTTAGAATTAATACATAATTAATATATGTAAAATGCTTAGGCTTTTTAATGATATTTTTTAGAAATAAAAACTTGTAAGTAATAATAAAACTATTTTACTACTTCAGTCAAAGCTTAATCCGGAGCCATATAGGATGATCTATATCTGGACCTCAAGCTACAAACTTCTGCGCATGCGCAACGCATAAGCTAAACCTAAGCTGCGCATAAACGTTTAGCAGTGTGTTAATGTATACTGGACGTATAGCAGTAAATGATATAATTATCTGTTTAGTAATTTGCAGATTGTGTTGTTCCTTAATCTTGGACCGGCTTATGTTTTTTTTTTTTTTTTTTTTTTTTTTTTTTTTTTTTGCAATGGAAGCAATTTTTTTAATTAAGCTTGAATTTCGATTATGGACAAAAACGATGCACAAAGCGAAAATGTTTACGATGTTGTTACAAAAAAAAGTGGAATGCTGCAAAAAATGGATATCAATCCTATCAAGCAAACATTTGAGTTCAATCATTCGCAATATGTTTATCATTCACGCGCTCTACGGGAGGGGGGGACGACGTTTCGCCAATGACGGAAGTTGATCGCAGCACCTTATTGTAGGGTCGATGTTTTTTTTATTCGGCTATATTCCTTACTAAATGAGTATGTCATATGAGTACTCCGTCTTTGATGATTTAATCAAATTCCTCGCATTATAAACAACACCGAATACACATCAAATAGTTTAACTATTGCAATTTCTAATTCAGTCTGCGTCTGTAATGCTTTACGCATGTGCTGAAGAAATGTTAATAAAGTAAACAAATAATGTAAGCTTTTTTTTTTTTTTGTTATAATTTTGTCCCCTTTGTATATAATGCATTTATCACAAATTACGTTATATTGTTAATTTTAATTTAGGATGCCTCTACCAGATTTAAACTGGTGATCTATAATCCGGAATCGCCGAAGTCCCGACGAGTCCAGATTAAAGACTTTTGACTGTATATAATTTAATTATTTATAACTAGTTGCTCATGTTTAAAAGTTGCCTGCACCTGTTAAGGTCTTCATTAATCCTTATGGTGGATTGAGATAACACAATGTCAAAATCAACATAAATCTTTATTCCTTTCAAGTAATAAGACAGAAAATGCAAAACAACTTATCACATCTGGTACATCAGCAGCTTATTGGAGCTTTATATTAAATACTGTATATTAACTGGGTCACAATTCCAGCAAATCTACACGAAGTTATGACACTAATGGTCAGACAAAATGCAGCTAACTTTCAACATTTACCAACTGTATCAATGTTGGTCATCTACATCTGGTCTGATCAGTGCCTCTCTGTCTCCAAGCAAGCAGCCACAGAGATAACCGCCAAGCTTCTGTTACGAGACATGCTCATTATTATTTAATTTATGTCAGATATACAATCTGCATGAACTTGGACTGGGCGAGTACATACATCAATACATGAGGCATAAAAGAAAGAATCAGTATCAAACTAACCATTAGTAAAATTTAAGTAAAAGTCACAAATCTTCTTTAAAATATAACTGTTAAACGTGTAAAATAAAATTATAATATGATGCTAATTATTTGAAAAAATAATTAGCATCATATTATAATTAGAATCATATTAGAATATTTTTTCAAATAATTAGCATTATGAAGTTGATTTTATTCTTGAATTTGTTTTATAATTAGGTTAAATATTAGATTATGTGGTACTTTTCTGTTTTGCCGGCGCAAGCGATAAAATCGCCAATAATGGTACAACTGATGTCAAACTGAATATCTTAGCTAGTAACCTTTTACGCTTCATTTTCAAAACAAGTCGCAGCCATTTCTTATCATATTGATCGTTTCTTTCAATACTGGCATGCAATTACATAGAATTTTTACAAAATATAGTTAAATTTTATACCCTAGAACCATTCGCGGTAATTAAGCAATTAGGATGCAAAACAACGCTCACCCGAAGGCGAAAATATAGAAAGGGCAAAATAAGGGTATACATCATTCTAATGAGAATGCACTAGCGAAAGTAAAGCACCACAGTTTTACATAATTTCTGAGTAAGTATTCGTACAAATTGAAATAATTCTTGCATTTAAACTTTATTCAAATTAAGATTAAATTGAAATTAATGTAATAATACTGAGAGATATTTCTGTGCGTAGTTTCGTGAGATGAGATATTTGGGTCACGTGGCAATCCGCGAATCAAGATTTGAACATGAAAGCATAGTAAATTCTTAAATATCTTTTTACAAAATTTTAAATCATATCAATATGTTAGCCTTCAAAATAAAAAATTCTTAGAATTAAAATTTTTTATGGTATACGCATGCGTCGCCCAAAGTCTGCTTGGCAAGATTTGTGCGGCGAACGCGGAAAGTCCGAAATTTAATAAAATCATCCTACTGAGATTTATTTATTATTACAAAATAAAGTCGGGTAAATAATTACTTTAAATTATTCAGTCCTGTTTGCTGATAAATCTTAATTTTTTCAACAAAAGTCATTAAAAAGTCTTACTTCCATGTGCAGAAGCGTCAATCAGCACTTTTTTTAAAAATAAGTTTAATGTATAAAATATGCTTTCTACAAATCTAATTAGATTTTTGTACAATCTTCAAAATAATTTAAATCTTTTTTAATAATTTTTAAATTAATGTGTTCCTTTTTAAAATATTTTCTCTGTTTTTTTTCTATGAGTTCCTTTTTTTTAAAATTTTAATATAATGTATTACATTTTTATATGTTCTGGCAGGAAAAATTAAAATAACTATAGAAACCCAGGTAACTTGAATAATTTTGTAACTAAGAACATGGAACTTGTGCAAAATCTTTATTTTTTAATGTCTGACATAATTTTGAAAGGCAGAATTGGCTATTTTTGCAGAAACAAATTTAAATAAGAATGTAGGAAATATGATGTAAAACGGTTTAGGGAAAAGTTAACATTACAATTTTTGAAATACATCAAAAAAGTTAATAAGGTGTGTGGCCACTCCTGACCAAAATGCATGCATTTCAGCAATATGTATTAGATTGTCCAGTTAACTGGAGTTAAAAAAGTGTATTCATGATCAATATTGTCTTGAAGCTGTTGCTAGGTGGGGGTTTCAGTGATAGAAGTTGGCTTCCTAGTGTATCTTGCATATGTTCTGTCAGATTTAAATCTAAAAAATATGTGGGCCACTCCATCTGCTGGTTTGATTTGCAGTTCTCAAGATAATTAGTCACCGATGCAGTTCATTTAAGATGGCCATTATTAAGAGGACGTTATTACAAATTGAGACCCTAAACAACTTGATGAAAATATATTACAAATAATACTGTAATTACTTTTCAAGAACCTCATCTCTGTATAGTTTCACATTTATAGTTACACCGATAAAAATGCATGTGTTAGTATGGCCTTTGAAAATGATGCCATTCATACTGAGATTCCACAACCTTTGTACTGATGCCTTTCATGGATGTTTTCATACTCATTATATGTGTTTTTCTCCACCCTCCAGATTGTAATACATATGGAATCACTCTTCAAACAAAGCAGTTTGGATGATTTCTGTACCACTGCAACCAGGCATTTTTTGCAGTCCAATTTATAGGGTCACAAATCATAGGTTTTCTTGCATAGAGCCCTCTTTTATGCTACTTGTCACCCATAGTATATCTGGGTAGATGAGTTCCTTTGCATTCTGAGCAGTTTGAAAAAGGAACCAAATTTTGGCTCATTGTACCCAATCGGATAAGAAAAAAATGGATTAAATATACAGGATGTATAACATTCTTATGTTAGTCTAAATGCGTGTTCATCTAATATGGTATAAAATGCTTCATTATTCCACCTGGGCTATTTCTATTGAGAATCCCTGCTGATAAACCATATTAAACTTTAAAAGTACACTTTCAAATCTGATTCCTTCAGAAAAATCTGAACCCTTTCAGACTTTTTTTTAAAGGAGCCTTAAGTAAAGGTTTATTAAAATGATAAATTTTTAAAAAAAATGGAGAAGACTCTGTTTGCTGAAGCAAGGCTTGGATGGTTGCAAATTTGTTTGTTACATTTGTAACAGATTGTGTATGCTGCAAATAATCATCTATTTATTGATGGTATTTGCATTAGCTTGAATTTGAAGAGTAAATCATTCAGTGTAAGATATACTGATTTTACCATTCATTAATTTTAATTATATATTTTACATTAATGTCAAATTTGTCATGTCATGCCAAGTTTGATACATCATGTATCACAACATATTAATGTTTTCATCAAATTTATATACAATTACTAGAAGGGATCTTAATTTTTGTTGTTTTCTCGAGCTTTAATATAAAAATTTTTGAAATGATTCTTGTTTCAGTGTTTCTCTCCCTGAAAAATTTGAAGGTGCTCTAAAGCCAAATGAAAAACTTGACAAAACTGAGCGAATGCATGAAAATGAAATTCATTGGCCTGAATCTTTAGCTGTTCACCAAGGTAAGATAGATTTATTCCTTGTTACTTCATACTTTCAATATTATTATTATTATTTTTTTTTTTTCAAAAAATAATCATTTACTAGAATTGTAATTTCATGTGAAGTCATTATATTTATTACTACTGCTTGTCCATGTTATTCATTAACTCATTTATATATTATGAAAGAATCACCTACTATTTGGTTGCAAGGTTTAAAAATTACTATTTAAGTTTAAAAAAAGCTAAGATGGATTCATAATATTTTTGGCATGAATTACAAAACAATATAATTGAGAGGGAGCAAATGGTAAAGTAGAATGCATATGTCTTCATGATTAATTTTTTGTGTATTGAATAAAAATATATTAACGAACTTTAGCACTAGAACCACGAGACTTTCGATATACCTTGAACCACGGTGCAAGTCAATTTGACCCTAGATAGAAAATACCTAAAAATATGCACAAATGATTACTTTAATTAATTAAAACATTTTGTTTTTATGTAACAACCAGTATTTCTCAAAATTTACTTTAAATATTTTATATAAATCAATGGAAATTACCTAAAATTTTAGAAACGCATATTATTTAACATTTTATTTCACTAAATATAATAATGTGTCCCTTTAAACAAAATAAAGCATATTTTTTTTTCAAATTTTAATGAGAAAACTGAGTATATCATTTAAATAATTTTAGAGAAAAAATAAAAATTTTACCAATTAACTTGCAAGTTTTACAGATTTTTAAAAATCCAATTTTTTGTATGCATTGTTCACGAAATTTAGCAATAAATTTTGTACATTTACCACAAATGCGTGCTTTGCATTTTGAACAAATATCTTAGATTTTAATTTCACATTTTGAGCTGTAGCATTGGACTCATTAAGTAGTAGTTTATCCAGTAGAGAATGAATTGCCATCTACTAATAGATTTTCCAGATACTTTGTATAAAACCCAGGCATTGATAGCAGAAAGGTCGAAAATATAATAGAAAACATGCACCGACCACCTATGTGAAGCAGACTTGACAGTATACTTCCTTGTCATTTGGTCAATCACCTCCACACTGAATTTAGTTGCGTTGTAATAAGCAATTGAATCAGGTAATTTTTTGGAACTATCTATAATTTCACAATTGAATAAGGACTACTTAGCAGCAAAATGTTTTTATATTTTTTCCCCTGATAAAAGTTAGACTGATGTCTTAATGTGTTAGTACCGTAGTCGCATGCAATGCTGACTTTTTTACAAAGACTAGTATTTCCTTTCTTGAGCGTTTTTCAATTCCTACAAGGCTGTTGTTTTGTAATTTCAGTGCTTCTGCAAGCTTCAGTGTTGTGAAGCTTCAGTGACATTTCTATTTTTATTGTCATATGGACTTAATAGTCGCAGTACTACATGTTCAGAAAGATAAATGTTGGATGGACTTTGGTTATCTTTCTAAAGGTACGAGAATCTATTTATTAGATATTTTGCATCAACATCTGCAGCTAACCAGAACTTGATTCCAAATTTTTCTGACTGTTTGGCATGTATTGAGTAAACCTACTCCTAGCTTTTGTAGGAAATAACTGTTCATCTACAGTTATATTAGGACCTGATGTATAGTTAGTCTGGCAATTTTCAGTGAAATGATTCCAAATATCAGAGATAATCGCAAATTTGTCTGTCTCTAGACAGTTTGATCTCGATGATTTTATATCGAAGCCTAAGAATCTCATTATTTCACAAAATTTGTTTCTTGACATTGTATTTCAGAAAAACGGTGGTCTCCAGTTCATTGACCACAAGCTATCCAGTTTAAGTGCTTTTTGCACAATATACACCATTGCTTTAAAAGATTACATTCCAAAGTGTCCAATCTTTGCCAATTTCATTATTTCCAACTTCAAATGTTACTACTGATTTAGTTTTCAGATTTCCTTGAGTGCATGCATCTTTTCTTAGAAATTTTGATTTTTCTTTTTTATCTGATAAATTATCATCATTAGTGCAGTGAGAAGGTCCAGAAATTGTTGGGCCACTGCCAGAGTCACCATCACTTTCTTTTCTTAACCTGAATTCAAATTTTCTTCATTAGCAGGAATGTATTCAACCTCACTGCTCAAAATCGAAACACTATCATCATCTTCTGAATCATTTTCAGATAATTGTTGTATAAATATTATTACTGCTGCATTCAACCACTTTCTGAACAGTCGGGAACGACGTCGTGACATCTTATCAATCCTTATACTAAATATAGAACAAAAGCAACTTCAAAAGGTCTTTTGAAATATTCATTATAATTTCCCACTGCATTCCAATGCGGTTCGCGTTTTGAACCAATCATTATGACCTTGACTGAAAACCTACACTATTCCCCTTCCTGTGCAGTCCATTTGAGGAATTCAAGAGTGAGGCAGATATACTTTATGGTTACTTCTGAGAAAAAGCATCGGTTTTTCGTCATTTTGGCATAAACATTTCTTACGGATCAAATTGGCCCACTTTGCAGTTCTAGGTATAAGTGTTAGTAATCAGAAATATATTTATGTTACACATTCTTAAATTTGGTAAGTTGTTGTTTACCTTAAAATATTAAAAACCATTAAAGAATTTTTTTTTTTTTTCAATTAATACTTTTCGCGTGGGGACAAATTAAACATTGGATTGGATCAAATTGACCAGATACATGGTTCTAGTGTTAATTATGCGGCAGAGGAAAACCTCTTTCCCCCCACACACACATTTTAGCTGTTTCTAATGAGTCTTTTGATGTTTAAATTTGGAAAATCTGTTAAATAATCACATCATAAATAGTTATTACTATAATCAATTTTTAAAAAGTTTTTTTAATGTGTCAGCAATACAAATAACATTGCTGCATTTTTGGAGAATCATGATTAAAAAATATCACAGATGAAGAACGGGGGAATTCTAGAGAATGAGTAGAAGTGTTAGATGGTAAATGTATACTGAAAGATGTTTCGGACTTAAACTGACAAAGAAAAGCATATAAGATGCCAGATGGGATAATGACAGATATTGAACATCTAAAAACAGAGACAACACCTTTTATAGAAATGCATGCTAAGAAGAAATGCATTTATTGAAATACATGTTTAGAGTAAAACAAACACACGAAAATAAGCTTTCGCTCGAAAGTTTTATTTCCATTTAGGTTCTTGGATAATGTAAATGACCCAAGTTTTTTTTTTTTTTTTTTTTTTTTTTTTTTTTTTTTTTTTTTTTTTTAAAGGCATATTTTGTGATATTTTGTAAGCAATTTTTGAGGCTACTCATGAAGAATTTTAGGTTGATTTAGAAGTCAAGATCTTCTGTTGTTTGCTTGCTAAATTCAGCAAGAGATTTGGATTTTTAAAGGTTTCTGGTGTTGTTTAGTCAGAATCAGAGGAGTAAAAACTTATGACCTTTTAAAAACTTTGGAATAATTAGATTGGAATTAAAACTATTATAGTTCAACCGTCTAAAGTGCAACCGTTGTTGGCATTCTGCCAAAACACATAGACTCCTCCAAAAGGGGTGGTATTACTTGTTGCGACGTGAAAGGTCTTCTCTTCTCCGCAAAGAACTATGCTGGAGAGAAAGAAAATCCCCATCCTTCCACGCTATTTTGAGAATAATTCAGTCCGAATGGCGCATGCATGTTTGCACTCATAGTCGTGGATGAGGCGGTTGAACTATAACTAGAGTTTATTTTGGTTAATAGTTTTAGCTATTAGCGAGAGAGTTTGGTAAATATTAAAGGCTTTAAAAAAATTTATTTCCTTAACTGAAGAAATATAATTTTAAGAGAAGTTTAAATATAATATTAATTATAGAAGATATATTATTCTTTCTTCATTTTTTTAAATAATCGTCATATTTTTAATGTGAGATTTTAATGCTGTCTTAATTTCAGTAATGTATATTAAACCATAAAACCATATAGAAAAGGAGGTTCTTTCTGTTATGTTTCTCCCATGCTTCTGGTACCTCTAAAAAAGAAGCCAAATACACACTGAGGCCCAATAACAGCACCATCTGTGCTATTATTGCGTGTGTGTATATATAAACACTTAAAAAGTTTTTATATATACACACATGCAACAATAGCACAGATATCTATGTAAACACTTAATAAGTGTTTATACTTTTAAACTTTGTTTATATTAGAAGTGTTTATATATATATATTATATATATATAAAGCACTTCTCATAACTAAAAGCTGTTTACAACTAAAAAAAAAAAAAAAAAAAAAACCCCCACCAAAATTCGTGGCAGGTGCATAAGGGAAAAGTACAGGCAAGGAGTATTATAAATTCCACAGGCATTAAAATCAGAGACAAGTCTTTAAGAACTAAAAAGTGAGTTTATTAGTAGCAGAGAAAATAAGTTGAACGTTAAGGTTATGGAGAATCTGGGCAGTTTTAAAAAAAAGTAAAGGAACAAAATGGGATAATTATAATGATGGATTATTGTTGCTGTTGTTTGTAACTGAAGAATTTTCTTTATGATAGCAAGAAAATAATCATTTTTAAAAGTTTTATCAGTAATAAAAAGAGAAAATTCTTTGGCAATGGGAACAATTTTTAAATGGTTGAGTTCATAAGCCAAAAAGTTGTAAAAAAAAAAAAAAAGTGTAGGGCACAATAGAGAATAGAGAGAAACCATATTTTGTTTCTTAAAATAATTAAAGATTTGCCACTGGCAGAAGGCCAAATAGAAAAAGGCTTCTAATAAACTGTCCTGCTGAAATTAAACTCATTGTTATTAAAATATCATAAAGAGAAAGTAAATTGCAGGATTCAATTTCAAGTGTAAACTGAATGACAGAATCAGTTGACTTTATTATGTATGTTTCTGAATATGAAAGTATGGAAATGGTTCTTCCTAAGAAAAAATGTATTGATCATAGTTGCATGATCCAAGAACATATCCAAAAGTTACATATGCTTGGAACCATTAGGAGAAAATACAAAGCTATCACATTTCCTGTGTGAAAGAGCTACGGAACAAATTTGTCAACATGGAAGCAAAAACTTCAATTGAAGTGCTGACTTCTAAATTCTAGAGGAAATAATATTTTTTGTAAAATTCTTGTTAACCTGGAGATTAAAGGAAATAATATTTTATATAAACTTCTTGTTAACCTGAAGAAATAACTTTAAATTCTTCTTAACTCTTCATTTATGATTGCATCTGAAGAAAAGATGGTACTTTTCTGTTACTGGGACCAGATTCAGAAATGCACGTGCATATGTATGTATGTATACACACATACATATGTGCGTAGGTACATACATGCATGCACACATACATTTTTTAATCTGACTCCAAGAATAGAAAAGTATCAGAAAGTTTAGCAAAGTAGTTTGAAATGTGAAAAAGGCTTTTAGATATCCCTTCAAAGAGTACCTTTCTTTTTACTAGCAAAACTAAGGGAGAGTACTTTGTCATTTAAAACTTAAGAGCCAGATGAAAGCTTATCATCTTGCAGTAGGGCAAGTAGAAAGAAGAATGAGTAGAGTAAAATAAGAAACTTTGGAAATGTTGTTACAGAAATATGTAACTAAGTTATTTAAGAATAACGAGAACCTTGAATGAGTACTAATCAATGAAAATATGTGAGAAAATTCAAAATTCTTTGCAACTCAGAGTAATTGCTCTCTAGAAAACAATCGTACGTTTTTTTCTAACAAAGTGAAGGAGTAGGAAAATGTTTCAACCAACACTTTGAGAGGGAAAAAAAGTGATACAAAGGGCCTATAAATGTTAATATATTGGGGAAAAAATTGTTGTAGTGTGTTGGCAATGTGCAAATAAAGCAGTGGGGTTTTTTTTTTTTTTTTTTTTTTTTTTTTTTTGCAAAGGGGAAAGCATCACTAAAATCTCATAACTAAAAATAATGTGTAAATTAATAAAAACTTAAATTCTTTAGAATAATTTTAAAAAATTAACTGAATTTTAATTTCATATAATACTATTAGTTTTAAGTATTTTTAATTAGTTTTTTTTTTTTTTTTTTTTTTTTTTTTTTTAAGTTATTAGCAAGGGACAGATATAAATGAAAAAATAATATATCAAAATGCATAACAGAAAAAAACTGCACTTCAAAAATGTCATGTAAGAAAACAAAGGAGTGTTAAAATATTTATATTATATGGATATCTATAAAATGTATGGATTAAAATAATCAAGAAGTCCAACTAAGAAAAAGAGCAGTTGTTAAAGAGAAAATGAAACTGCAGCATAACTGATCTGTGACTCTTATGTCAAAATCCGAAATTTAAAAACTGATGTTTTGATCATCTGGTAGTTCTGGTTATTTGATAATTAAAAAAAAAGGGGAAAACTATTGAAGCATGTTCTTTATTATATCAAAATTAGCTAATATACCTAGTGACCCTAGTGAGTGCCAGTTTTTCATTAATTTTATGGATTTGTCTTTGTATATTTGCTGATTTATTTTTGTATTTAAAATATAATAATTAGTCAAAATTCACCATATATTTGCTATATGTTAGTATTTGTTATATTCATTATATGTTAGTATTTTTAGAGCTTTATACTGTTAGAAGTTCATCCTTATTTTACAATTATTAGAGCTGTTTTTCAATATACCGTGCACTTAATTCTTAAAATTGCTGTAGAATTTTTGGATACTATTCCGTTTTAAGGACCGTAAAAAAATTGCAATGAAAATGTATGCGCAAAAGCGCCAAATCTAGCAAACGCGCCCATTTAAACAGCGTGCCAAATCTAGTGTACGCGCTGGTTTCAAATTGCGTAAGTTTATATAGTTCTATATGACGCCATTGAAATACTAGTTTAATTTTTAAATCCTTTTATATATATATATATATATATATATATATCCTATGGATTTAACAATTTGGGAATTGCCCATGACGAAAAGTCTGCAATAGAATTTTGGGTAAAATGCAGAATCACCCACTGCTTGACGCGTTTTTAAAAATTGCACATACTCGGTATCCATGTACACATCGACCTATTTTCACTTTTAAAAAAATTCCCAGAATTGCACAAAAATGGCACTGTGCACATCCTTGACTTTATCTATGTACACATCAACCTATTTTCATTTAAAAAGTAAAAGAAAGTTGACAAAAATCCAATTGTTTTGACCCTTGTAAAAAGCGGCAAACAAATAAGTGGGCGATTCTGCACTTTACCAAGAATTTTTTCAAAGAAAAAGCATCATTCGTTATAGAAAATTATGTTTGAACAACCAATGGATGAAAATTATGCTTTAGCGATAACTCAGTAGTGAAATAGTGATGCAGGCATCCATTCAGTTATGTTTAGAAATTTTTATATAAATTATAATAACCGAAATATATAACTGAAATAGTTATTTACTCTTATGCTTCCATTCAGTCATGTTTAGCCTTTTTTTATATAAATTATAATAATAAAAAATATTATATGAAATTAACCTTTCATCTAAATTAAAGCATCAATCTTTAGATAGTTATTTACTATTATACTTCCTTTCTTGCATTAGGGTTGCCACAATTATTTTTGGCATCAACAATAGTTTGGCAATTTTTTACGGCCCTCAAAACCAAATAGTACCAATTTTTGTTTACATACCGTACATAGCGTAGCGAATGACCAAAAAGTAATTTCTTAATCCTGTAACTGGCAAGATCCTATATATTATAAGTATGGCTAGAATATTTTTTAACATTTTAATACATGTATGTGTATCTTGTAAGTTTAATACATGTAAGTAAGTACTTATTTAATACATGTAAGTAAGTCAAAAAAATTAAAGCTATATATTAAAAGTGCATAAAATACCAGGGGCATTGATAGTAACTCCCATGTGACTGCCCTCCATGAATCAGTATTGTTCTTCCAGTTTTATAATGCTCACACCTAATTGCCTCGCAGTACTGTGACATTTTTATTTTGCAAACACGAAATACTTTCCCAATCTGTCACATACAATCTCGCAACACACTCGGGCTATTTCTCATCGTATCTATGCAATTCCCTGCTAAAGGTTTTTTTTCTGTGATGTAAACAATGGGAAGTCTCCCCAAACTGAGGTTACTGGAAGTGCCAGTAATAGGCCTATTAAAAAGTATCAAAGGCATTAATATTTTTTTTAGAAAAAAACTCTTTCTTATGACAGTTTTTGGAAATTTGGGCATTCTTAGCAAAATCCCTGATTTGTCAGAGGGTTTTGAATTGGTGAGTAAAACACTTATAGTTGCATATCTTAAAAGCATGAAGTTAGAGATACTGATTTGCAATTAGTACATCATTGTGCTAAAACAGCCTATCCAGATTGTTGAAGCAATGTAAAAAATACTGTCATAGCAAATTCCAGACTTTAAAGATCTAAAAGCTAAAATTAATGTGCCAATGCAAATCTGGATGAGCAACTTTAAATTGTTAAAAGTATCTAGTTATATATGTTAAAATGTCAGAATGTGCTTTTCACCGATGTACAGTCAAGTGACAGTGTTGTTTTATTTATCATTCTTAACAATGCTGGGCATAAAATGGATATGATCAGTAATAGCTGAATAGAGTATGTATGACCTTAAAAACAAAATGTAGTTGTATCAACTGAAAATCCTACACATCCCTTCCATTCTCAGTTGAGAAAAAAATCATCTGTTGTGGTTGCTGAGTCTGTCTGATAACTGTCACTTAAATAAAATATTTTACTCTTTGACAGTTCTTTCATAAACCATAAACCAAGTTAGTGGTTAGGGTTTCCATGACAATTCCATATTTTAGGTGTTTATAATAATGCCACTTTTAGTATGTCATTTAACCTTTAATTGTGCATAATCTCTGACTGAGTAGCCAAACCTATGGATTCCTATTATCATGACAATATTTAACTCTACTTACACTCATTGCAGTGTTAAAGCAGTTCTATATAGTTAAATAGGTTTTGGAGATACGTATCCATGTGGTTATAGGACAGATGTGTTTGTAGCTAAGGAATGCCTGTTGATTTTTATTTGAGTATCTTTCTTTATTCATTAAAATATATACAGTAAATCTATAAAATTCCATACAATATTTTAAATGTATAAAAATTTATGAATTGGTGATTCTGACAGTATGCTCTTTTTATTATTTAAATTACTTTTCTAGGTGTTGTTTATACTGGATTGGGAGATGGAAGAATTGTTCGTGTAACTCCAGATAAAGTGACTGAAATTTGTCGTACTGGCAAAGAATGTGGTATGTTAAAATTTTGATTATGTATTAGTTCTTTTTCTTATCTTTTAAATATAAATGAGGAAGCATTTCCTAAAAAATTTGAAATATGTTGATATTTGTTTTATAAAGATTTATTTATTGTAAAATATGTTGTTAACTACATTGTCAATTTGTTTAATAACATCACTGTTATTCCAAGTCTCTGTAGAAATTTAATTTTTGTAAAATGTAATCATCATCCAGTGTAGCTACACATTTTAGGTGTTGGTGCTATATAAAATTTATATAATATATCCATATTTTGTGTTTTGAAATAACTCTTATCTGAATTTACAGAGCAATTTGGATTTGTGTACAAAATTTTGTACAAACGATCAAAAACTAATTAATTTGTATTGTTTTTTGTAGACAAATGTGGAGTTTATAATTAATTAATTCTATAAAAATATTTATGAAATTATAGCATAATTTCTTCTGCATTTCAAATGTATAAGATGAACAAAATGTCTTTCTCTGATTACAAAGACTTGTTGTGATAACACTATTATAATTTAGACCTTTATTTTTCCTGTATAACATTAGACACAGTATGCATCATTCTGGTCTTCAAAGTATCAATACTATGAACAGGTATGGCTCCATCCTTGAGAAAAGGGTTTGTGTGATTCACAATAGATTCAACAATGTCATCACTCACAGTAGGAATGCCACTTCTTTGAAGGTTACCAACGTTAACAGGTTTCTTTTAAATTTTCAATACTAATTTCAGATGCTCTTAATGGTAGTTATGTATTAACGCCACGGCAGCAAAAGTTCCGCTGAAGCACAATAAAGAGCACCTGTTGTTCACACGCAATTATTTTTTGGATTCTTTTTGTCTTGTTGTTTGCTGATTTTTGACGCCATTTTTTAGTGCTTCGAAAATGCGTCTTTGGGATTTGCCAAGCACAGAAGAAGATGCAATTTTATTTTTTCAGGAGCGAAGTATTTTACCAAAAAAACGAAAATGTACCAATTCGCATGATATGAAACTTTGTTTTGGTAAACTTACGTTTTGGAATGTAATTCAAGACAGTGTGATCAGTAAATGAGACTTACAAGACAACTGGTTTGAAGGAAGGGAATTCCATTTTGTTCAGCTCTGAGATTCATATACTGCTGGTGCAAGGAGTTGACGTCGATAAAATTTTGTGAAAAGCAACTTGATTTATCGGATAAAACTGTTATGGATTGGAACAATTACATGCGTGAATTATGTGTCTTGGATATGGAGAATAAACCAAGCAAGAAGGTAGGTGGACCAAATTGCATTGTGGAAATAGATGAAAGTTTGTTTACTAAGCGTAAAAATAATTGTGGTCGAGTATTACCAAAACAGTGACTGTTTGATGGTATATGTAGAGAAACAAAAGATTTGTTTGTTGTCACTGTTTCTAATAGAACTTGCTCCACCCTTCTTAATAAAATTATTGAAAACATTGCAGATGGTAGCACAATTTATACTGACAGTTGCAAAGGTTACCAAACAAATATAATAGAAAAAGAATGATTCCTACATGCTAAAGTTAATCATAAATACAGTACAAAGTCCATAATCCGGACGTTCATTATCCGTAATGATCTATAATCTGGACCTCAAAGCCACAAACTTATGCATGCGCATTTGATGCAAGCGTCCACTACACATGCGCGTAAAGCCAGTAAAGCGTTTACACATGTGCGCGTCTGATAGTGAAGAAAATGACAGAGAGGTTATTGAAAATGAAAAAATTTCTATTGACAAGTTACTCGGTATTCTCAACACAGCAATTACAGGAGTTAAGCACTGGAACTTTATAACTGAACAAGAAATTATGTCCGTTTATAGAATTAAAGAGAAAGTAGCCACAAAAAAAAAAAAAAAAAAAAAAAAAATGGAGCAACTTAAACAACTTGCATTGCAAGAATTGTTTAATAAAGTAAACAAATAAATATTAAGCTTTTCTTTTTTTGTGTGTGTGTGTGCGCGCGCGCGTGTATGTGTGTAAATTTTGATACCCTTTAGATCATAATTGCTCTTTATTTCATAAATTGCGGTTTCAAATTTTTAAGTGTATAATTTCTGCATGCCATCTTACCAGATTTAAATTGATGATCTATAATCCGGAATCCCCGAAGTCCCGACGAGTCCGGATTACGGACTTTGTACTGTACAATTTTATTGATCCTGATACAGGAGTTCATACACAAACAGTTGAGACAATGTGGGGCAGTGCTAAATGGAGGAACAAGAGGCCTAGGGAAACAGTGCGACATCATTTAGAATCTTATTTAGCAAAGTTCATATGGCGACAGCATGACATCAAAGAAAAGAGATGCTGTTTCGAACCTATGTTAAACTCTATATCGGCCCATTTTACACCAAAATCCGATTGACTACGTTGGTTTTAAATAAAGTGTTTTAATTTATGAGTTGTCACAAAAATTTTAGGTGTAGATTGCCGGCACTTAAAAACTGCCAAATCCTGCAGCTGCGGTGGCGTTAATACGTAAATACCCTCTTAACCTCTGAAGGATTACATTCATACCTCTAAACTGCCACTGATGGGTGATTTACTTTCATGCTACTATAAAGTACTCTTTTTTTTTCCGCCAATACCATTTTGTTATTAATTGGTGCTATCAATTAACATGATAAAAAGTTTGTAACAATAGGATTACTATAAAATGATGAAAATCATTAAAAGTTTGTTACATTATGTAAATAATTTGCAACAGTAGGATTACTGTCAAATGATTAATGAGGAAAAATTCAGATTTCTGTCTTCCATGGTTTTGTTCCTGTAAAAAAGTTTTGCAATCAGGGATAGATATTTTGCTTATGCTGATATTTTACAGCTTTGTATCACATTGATATTTGAAAGTGGATTGTATTGGGTTCATGAACTTGGGTTATGTATGAACAGAATGAGACGGACGATTATATAGGATGAAAATTATTAATTATCATTATAAATATTTATAACTAATTATCATTAAGCATCTGAAGTTTTCTAATTAAGTTAAGTAATAAACTGATATAAATAATGTTATTCTCATATAATTCATAATCAATCTGCTATTTATATATGTTCCTATTTTTGTGCTGTAAAATGTCTTTAGACATCATTTATTTTTAAATAGGAAAATTTGTAATATGCAGCATACTTATTTTAAATTTACAGGTGTGATTTTGTATCATGAACATTTGTAATTTACTCTATATAAATTTGCATTTGAATGAAGATTTGTTACTTGAATTTTAATAACTAATGAATTGCATATTATAAAGTAAATATGAATGATTCAGTTTCTGGTCATTAATAGTAATTTGTTATCACTAACATTTTATTAAATAACTTTGAAAGTTGAGGGTTTATTTTTTTCCCCTCCTCTTCCTCTCTTAAGTTTGCTATCAAATTATATATTTTCTATAAGGATAATATAAATAAAATTAAAAAATAACACAGTTTTAATTGTATAAAAATATTAATTATTTCTGTTTATACTGCAAAATGTATTATTAGCATAAATCTTTCCTTTATTACAAAATTATTATCCTTAGAAAATATTTATGACAATTTATTAACAGACTTAAATTGATGTTTGTAATAAAGATTATTTTCCTTTTTATGAATTCATGAATTAATATATAGTTTTAGAATAAATAACTAGGGTAATTTATTATTTAATAGTTTTGTAATCTGTTATTAGTGATACTAATCTGATTGAAACTTAATTCAGAATTTAAATTTTTAACAAAAGATGTAACTTTTCTGAATGAGAAAAATATCAGCAATTATATATAATGTAAAATTTAACATATTTTTATTATTATTTCTCTATAGCTGGTCAACATGAGGAGCATATATGTGGTCGTCCTTTAGGCATGAAATTTAATAAAGCTGGCCTTCTTTATGTTGTAGATGGATATCTGGGTCTATTTACTGTTGATGTAAAGACAGGTAAATACAGTAATTTAAATTTTCATATGATTTAAAGATATTTTTTTCTTATGACAGATCTGCTTTTATTAGTTTTAGACTGTTGTCTTAATACAGTCACTTTTATTCATTTAAGTAAAATTTGTTTAGTTGAAGAGAAAACTACTTTCTTATTGTATATTTTTTATTGTTTAAATTTTTCATATTATAATAGTGCAATTTTATGAATTTGAATTAATTTTGAACAAAAAATATAGAGCCAGTAATTGAGTTTAGAGTTGTAGCATATAATATGTTAAGATTATGTTTGAAGGAAATTAAAGAGTATATGCGGATTTATTACTGTACGTGGAATTTATTGAAACATAGTATTATTGTATCTGTGTCAACTATTATGAAATAGTATTATAGTTCATATATATTAGCTCCTATATATAAAATAGTAATGATGTAACTATGTGATATGAAAAAGTACTGAAAAATGAATATACAAAGATTTTTGGCCCACTGTGACAGAAACAAAGATGAATTCTAACTTTTTTTCAGTCACGACCCCTTTTTATCTCTCAGATTTTTTTCACTACCCCAGGACCCTCATAATATTTACGAAAATTTTGTGGGACCCCATAAGCATTGCACAAATCCGCACATGCATGAATGAAACTGTAAATGTTTTCACTTATACTGTAATATTCTATCGCAATTTTAGGTCTCTAATTTTAAGAGAGAGAACAGTGTGAAAATTTTAAATAAGTAACAGGCGAAATGACAGCGTCACAAGCAAAGCAAGTAAAATGAACCTTACATTATAAAAAGAATGCGTCGAAACGTTTTCATTTTTTCTTTGTCTCTATTATGTTATCTTTATCTATTTTCAGATAAATTGTGTAAAAATATCTGCTAATTGTAAAATTATTGTAATAAGTTAAAGAAATATCAAAACTGCTAAAATTTTTGGCGACCCCATGCCGTAGGTCCCGCGATCCACAGTTTAATTAACTCTGGTATAGGGTATTTTACTTAACCATGCATGTAAAAGGAATATTCGAGTAGTGAGCTAGGACAGTTTTCACATTAAGGGAACCAAAAGGGTGAAAGAAAGTCTTGTATACTCTATGAAGATAAAATTAGCAAAAGCAAATAAATATACAGGTAGTGATTATAAAAGTTAAATGTATAAATGCATTAAATATAGGTATCATTATTCTTAGTGCAGAATTACAGATATTTTATTTTATCAACACAAGACAAGCCACTTGAAAGGGAAATACCATAGATATCACAAAACTTCATAATGGTATCTAGGTCTTTAAATGCAAAAATTGCAAATGTTACCATATGAAGAAAGTATTATATGGAAACTGGGGGGGGGGGGGAAACTTGAAATTAGAATTTTTACAGTTTATAAAATAGGGGGGAGAAAGAAGGAAAAGGTAGAAAGTTATGCATTTTTTATCAAAATATTTTCTTTTTTATATGTATTTTACTATTCATCTCAAAATTTTTAAATAAAATGATATTTAAAAGCATTGCTGATCCGAAAATTGTAATTGATTAGGGTGAGAAATTAGAAAATTTTTTTTTTATTGTGCCTAAAAATATAATTAAATTTGTTTGTGCTTGCACATAATTATGTTTTTTAATGCTCATTTTACTTAATTTCTGTGCAAAATAAAATTTTGTTTTTTATGTATTGCAAGGAAAAGGGAACATTATGATAGAATGATGGTTTTGAAATACATTTTGATATATCTTGAGGACTTACGAACTTATTTCGGCAATCAATATGCTCTCAATAAGAATGTAATAATTATCACATTAAAATAATCAGTTTTCAGTGATCAAATTAATCAAGGTTTATGGAGAGATTTTCATCTAAAGAAATTATTCAATATTTCAGTAACTGGATATTTATAACCGGATATTTACATAATGGATAAAAAAGATAATAATTTTGTAGTACAAATTATATTGAAGCCATAAAAATTGTTATGTGATAATAAATATGCTAATCTTTAGTGTAAATATGGAATTATAATTTCCAAATAGGTTTCACATATGTTTATTTTTGATTTTCTCTTAGTAAAAACTATATTTGCATCTCTGAAACTTATATATATACATATTATTATTATTTTTTTTTTCAGGGAAAAAAAATACCATTTTATCATCTGATACTCTTGTTGATGGTAAACCATTGATATTGCTAAATGATTTGGCATTGGATGAAAAAGAAAATGTAATATATTTAACACAATCAAGTACTAAATGGAATTTAAGCCAAGTCATTGTGAGTATTGTGGAGCATGACACATCAGGAAGGTCTGCATTTGTTTTTACAATAATAGGCTTATTCATACTTATTTTTCACATTAAAACTTTTTGCTATTTATTCATTTAATGCACGACTGGTGTTGGTAAGTGTTTGGCAGAAGCAGAGGTGGGATTGCACTAGCAGCAATTGTGAAGGGTCCAAAAATTTAGGCTAATTAATTTAAAAAATAAACATATGTTTTATCATAAGATCTACTCCTGAGGTGTACATATGGACTTTGAGTCATACTGTGGCAGTAGCACTCTGGGGAAACACAAACACGAGTCTGACACTTTCAGAATCCTAAAGGAAAATTGTTTCATATAGTTGGACCAATGGGGTATGGCAAAGACTTCTAATCTGTGAGGAGACAGGTTAGAACTCTGCACTCCATCAGGTGGTTTAACTACTAGAGGCTGTGAGTACCCTCTGGTGAGGTGAGAGAGTAAGAAATCTGTACTCCATCTGATGCATATGGCCCACAGGGAATGGGTTCTAGCTCGTGTAATACTGGTGGAAGCATCTTGACAGCCACTTTAATACTTGTTTGTTAGGCTGACCTCAGTACGATATCTATTGCACTCTTACCAGCACCTTGGTTATCCCTGGGTAGGGCAAACCTTGCATGAATAACTTTGGGTGGTAAACTCGGTGAGTAAAGGGAATTAGATATAAATTAGGATCATGCTTGTAAGAATTGTAATTGTGAGAAAGCTTGACTGCCGCTTGGATCTTTCAAGTTTATAAAGCATGCAACCCACCACAGAGTCCAAGAACTGGGAGTGGTGAGCCCATGGACCCAGACTAAGTGGTGGGTAAAGGAGGCTAGAAAGTATATTGTCCGGTAAATGTGGGACTGGTATCATACACCCATATTTACCTCACACTACCACATAACCATTAGTCGTAAGCAAATAAGACTTATGAGCCATCTCCAAGGTGGCTTTTTGCCTGAATTCTGCTTTATAAGGAAGTCTGGGATGTGTAGTTGACACATTAGCATTAGTAGTCTGACCATGAGCAAAATTATTATTACCTAAGATGCAGAGCCTCCATCAGATGAAGTGTGCCTTTCAGGTACATACATTCACGACTATCATATTCATTATACATTCAGAACTTGTTGGCAGTCTTTAAAAGATCTATTAAAAATGGGGAAAAATGTAATGGGAACAGTGGAATAATTAATATTAACAATGCAAATGTCTAAATTAAATTCTAATAAATGTATTCCTAACATTTCACTGTGATTGTTTTGTAGAAAAGCCCTCAGACATACTCTGTCAAAATTAATGATTCAACTCATTCAAGAAAATTGAAATTAGGAGCTGCATATTAACGTGCAGTGGCACTGTAACAGCTAATAGATGTGATTTAACACAAAAGTTGTTTCTAATGTAAATTATGTGTAAAGAATTAGTAAAGTTTGTTTACTTTTGAGACCGCAGCCTACAGCTGACAATATTAGTCACCAAGTAAGTTTAAGCAGTGATTACTTATAAACTTTCTGTAGAATTTTTAAGAAGATATTTATCAGGAAATGTACTGTATCCTGTAACACCAGATTATAAAAGCAACCTCTGAAATTCATATCTTTGGATAAAATATTACATACAGTAAAAAGTCCGAGATCCCGACTCGTTGAGACTTTGGCGATTCCAGATTTGGGATTTTTTCGGATATTAGATCATCAGTTTAACACTTGTGAGATGGCATGTAGAAATTATAAAATTAAAAATACAAAATTGTGATTTATGAAATAATGAAGCATTTATGATCCAAAGAGTAACAAAATTTACAAAAAAAAAAAAAAAAAAGGCTTAATATTTATTTGTTTACTTTAATAAATATTTCTCTAATTGTATCTTGTTTAAGTTGCTTTTTTTGTGCTAATATTATCTCTTTAATTCGGTAGATAGGCATAATTTCTTATTCAGTTACATAGTTCTATTGTTTAAGTCCTGTAATAGCTGTATCTAAAATTCCGACTAACTTATCAATTGAAATTTTTTCGTTTCAATAGCCTGTCTATCACACTTTCTTCACTATCGATAGCGGTATTTTTTTAGATCTAGAACCATACTACAGATTTCGCCACCTGTGAATTGATTGATTATTGGGGCAATATCATTGCAATGAAAAATTTCTGGCATATCATCTTTATTTATTGCCGCTTCTTCACATTTCTTTAAAAATTCCATTAACTGGAAAGTTTAACCTTTGGTTTGCAATATCTGAAAACCTTCACATTCACGGCTATCATATTCATCAACCTCACCATGAAATATACTTGCTGGCCATAAGCATTTAAAATAATTTTTTAAAAAAAGTTGTTGGTGATTTTGAGGTCTGGATTTTAGATCATTCCGGATATTGGACATCCGGATCGTGGACTTTGTACTGTCAGAAGAATATCAGAAGGGATTAAATTTCTGTGGTGAATCAATTTATGTGAAATGTAAAGCAAATGAATATATAGAATACATTAATTTTTTTATGAATTATTCATGTAACTAATAAGAGTATAAATTTCTTCCAAAGGTTACTGAAATATGATTTGAAAACAAAAGCAGTGACAGTAGTATTGAAAGATCTTTCATTTCCAAATGGAGTGGAGTTCACTCATGATGGTTCAGCTCTACTTATAGCTGAGGGCAATAAAAATAAAATTTTCAAGTAGGTGTTAGTATGTATATATGTAAATTAACTGAAAAAAAGGACATTTTGAAATATTTATTTAATATTTACTTATTCTTAATCATTTCATTAATTTAAATATTACTTCTTTCATTTTTGATTTAGTATATTATTTGTAAAAAATATGAAGTAATTGAGTAACACTCTTAACATAATTAAATTCTCTAAATTTTAATGTGAAATTTTATATTTGTAGTATTTTACGTTAAAAGTTTTTGCTTTAACTTTTCTGTTTTGTTTAGTCATAATCCCGTATGTATTTAATATTTTCATGCTATATAATAATCCTTTTTAAATTTTAGGTATATTGTAACTGGACCTAAAAAAGGTTTTGTAGTTGATCTTCCTTTGGTTTTACCTGGAGAACCTGACAACATATCTCGTAACAAAAGAGGTAACTACTGGGTTGGTTTATCTACTGCTCGTACTGCTGAATCTCCAGCTCTTCATGACAGGTTTTCTGAGTATCCGTTTTTAAGAAGGGTGTTTCTGCACGTTCACAAAATATCTACTACTCCAATTAGTTTCCTTTTGAGCCTTCTGCCATATAAACAAGCCAAAGAAATAGCATTTGAGGTAAGATGCAAAATTTTATTTTCTTTCACTTAATACACTGAATGCCATATTACCCAAATATCAGCAATAAGAAAGTTACCATAGAGGTTCTTTAATGGGTGATAGTTTTTATTCATTTTATTAGGCAGTACCTTACAGTAAATAATTCACAATAGTTTTTTTAATAGTTGCTATTTAATAACAGCAATGTCTAAAACTATGAACCAAGGTTTATAAAAAGTTTAATTATAGAAAAAATATTTGAAGTTTCAGTCTAGTATTCAAAATACTTTCAATAAAACTATATTTAGATTCGGCTGGCAATAAATTCCAATTTTGTTTTCAAACCTTATAGATGAAAACTATGTCTGCTTTTTCAATGACAAAAAATTTAATCATGTAATTGTTCTAAATCATTTCTGATTATCAGATGGTGGATTTTATTCCAAATGTAATACTAGTACTATTATTTTGAAAAATAACTATTATAAAACAGTTATTATAAGCTAAAGTTTCCCAGAAAATGACAAAAAATTATCAATTTTTAATGATACCAGTGCATGTATTTATGATAAGAATACATGTACAAATGTAATACTTATTTGCAGTATATTGTCCCATAACAATGCTGTGTAGGAAACCATCTGGATCATTTTAATCTGCTTTACATCTTCTTTATTACACCTTTGGCAAACTACAGATATGGAATTTGTGGAGAAAATCCTCAGTTTATACTAGTATTTAATATTAAGCTGTTTTAAGAAGTGTATCCAAGATCTAGCAGTTTTTGTACTCGTACAATCTAGCGACTTAAACTGCTGCTTTAAAATATTATTGCAGTAAAAATTCACTAATCCTTATGGTGTTAGAAGAGCTTAATCTCAGCAAATAATTGCCATTAGAGAAAATGAAATTAAAAGTATGTATGTTAAAAGATGAATATAAATGGCTATTGTAAATTTTTGTAGCAACGTTAAATTTGCATCATTTATCAGCTGAATTAATACTTTAAATAACTGAAAATATTTTTATTTCATAATTAAGAATTTTGTTTTTTCCTCTTTAGTTGAAAAATGGCCGTATTGTAGCTGATCTTCCCATTGGATATGGTATGATTATAGAATTTGATGACAAAGGCAACATAATACAAAGTTTGCATTCTCCTTCAGGAAAAGTTGTGCACATTTCAGAAGTATTGGAGCACAATGGCTACTTGTACCTTGGATCTTGGCGAAATCGCTATCTGGGAAGACTGAAATTGTAGACAAGTAACCTTATAGGGTGATGATAAATAAAGTAGAACTGATATATAAATTGAACATTTTGAAATCATAACCACTGATCACAAGTATATGCAAATCAAGTTTAAATTGATGAAAAACTTTTTCTAAATTAAGAATTGAGATGCATAAATTTTACTCATAAATTACATATGAAACTTTTCAATTTGATAATTTTTTAAAATGTGATATTCTGGGAAAGATGTGATATGTTCTGTCATATAACTTTTGTATCAAGAATTTTAAAATTATATTTGCATATCAGGGATGCATTCCACTGTACTAACATTTATATTAAAAAAAAAAAAAAGAAAAAAAAAGAACTGTATTTTCTATTCTCATTACATAAAAATAAATATTTTTGTATATTTTTTCTTTATGCTATACAGAGTCATACATTAAATAAGGAAAGGAGTGACATATTTTATATAGAATGAACACAAATACGATAACTTCCAAACTATAGTCTTGTTTTTTTTTTTTTTTTTTTTTTTTTTTTTTTTCAAATTATTACTTTTTTATAATTTTGATGCCTGACTGCACTAGTCAATGAAAAAAAAATTAGTGGGTTATTAATTATGACAAAACAAGTGAATGCCTGTCAAGTTAAGAATACCCTGACAATTTAGATAATCTGTTTCTTAGTAATAAAGATAATTGTAACAATCTGTTTAATATGTGGCAACAATTAAACTTTGAAAGTTGCCATAGTAATCATAAGTTTAGAACAAGAAAATTGTTTAATTTTTTACTTTCGACATTTCATTACCATAAAATGTTTCCTTTCTGTATTTTGAACTTATAAATAAATAAATGACTACATTTCTTAATACTAATCAAGTCATAAATTTGAAGAACTTATCCATTCCAAAGTGACTTATTCAGATGCGATGTTTGAAGACAAAATCATGTTGTAATGCTGAACAGTGACAAGATGGAAACCAGTTAGCAACATTAATGGCCACCAGTTCTTAAAAAGAGTGAGATCAGTAATTTATCTTACAATTTTTAACTGCTCAACTTTTGTGCGTTGTTTTATATTTAATTCCGTTTAAAAGTTTTTTGAAAATTAAATGCTGCATAATAGAGAAACTCGGATTGCCAAACTCTCTCAAGTTGCTGTCCATGCACCTTAATTTTGAGAAAGTATCCCAGAATCATGGTTCATACAATTATAATCAAATTTAATGTTATCTGGTGTCACATCAGGTCACACTAAATTTCACTCAGTTGTAGCTAGATTAAATGTAAAAGTTTTGGTATAATCTATCTGATATTGTATATAATCTTCCACTAACTGGCATGTATAGCCAACTGAAAACAAGAATTTTAGACCAATTTTGAGAATTAGAAAACTGAAAATATGTATGCTTTTGCCAAAATACATTTAGGAGATAAAAGATCATGACAACTCTTATTTGAAATATGCAGTTTACCGGTTAGGAGCGTAAGCGAGGAAATATTAAATTCCGTTTGGCTTCTAAGGCTCCCATTTTCATTCCAAAAGATATTGTTGGTATGCAGTAATACTAGATGGTTTGGCAAAAATAGTCAATAAATTTAATGAGATATCTGGTTACTTGCCTGAAACAGCTGGTGTAAGTGTTGATGCACTAAATCTTCAAACCTTAAAATAAGGAAATCATGTCATTGAAAGCAATAGTAGAATACACATCTTGTTCTAAATTTTGGAATCATAGTGAAAGCTGAAAGCAAGATTCTAGCAAATCAAGAGGTGAAAATCATTATGTTAAATCACAGACTCACAGTTTGTGTTGATATCATAACTCCTTTGCTTAAAAAGCTAAATAATGCATTTCCCATGCAAATGACAAGAAAACTTTCAGGTGCCTCTGTATTAGCGGCAACAGATGGTAGTCAAATTGTACTGCTACTTATTCATTTTGGATAAAAGTACTGGTTTCTGATTCTTGATTGATAGTGATGTGGCGGTTAGTTGCATTCATAAAAAAATTGCAAAATGTAAGATGCCATAAAATTTGACCTTATATGCTGCGAGTAATTGAAAAGTATGCAGTTATGGTACTAAAAAATTTTGGTTTAAGAAGACGATTTCCCTGGCACTTTGGATGTATCACAATCTATCATTTTTTAGATAAGTCTGGAATTTTGGTGGGTATAAAAAAGCTATGTTTGATTGATAGCCTTGCCAATTTAATTCTAAAACATACTGTTCTTTAGGAGTTCTTTGGGACTAACTCTCATTTGTAACAATGCCCCTTATAGTAAAATTTTAAACAAATTTCCTAAATTATTTAATCCCATAATAAATACACCTGAAATACATAATAAATACGCCTATTATATATTATGAGCTCAATTACTCATAATGTACAGCACCACATTGAAACTAAAGGCCCTCTTGTCTATTCAAAGGTTCTAAATTTTATCACTTGAAAAATTAGCAGCTTTAAAAAAAAAGGCTAGGAATCATTTGGCATATGAAAACTCCTTATGCTAATCATATACATTTTGTTAAAAAACAAAATGATTAGCGAATTTTTGGTAATTTAAGGAAATTGAATTCCATTGCTCTACCTGATCATTATCCCTTGCAACATGACATTTGGGTTAAGAAATTCAGCTCAAACATTTTAAATATTTATTTATCAAGTTTTACGAGGTTTAGACGATTAAAAACACTTGCAAAGTCAGTTTAGAAAAGGTATCTGAATGATTTAAGTGCTATGGACTTAAAGTTAATTTAGCTAAATGAGTTTGGGGGCAAGAAGAAGTCCTATTTCTAAGTTTTCTACTTTCATCGGATGGTATCTGGGCAGTACCAGAAAAAATTAAAGCTCTAACTGAATACCAGCTATAAGGGATCTAAGGTGATTTCTTTCAATGCTTAACTTCTACCATCATTTTGTACAAAAATGCAGCTGAGATATAAGCTTGTCTGTATGATTTAGTGAAATGAAAAATTAAGAACAAGTCAGAAATTACATGGGATGACGAAACAAAAGATGCATTCAACCCCTGCAAGCAATTTTTAGCCATTGCTGCATTCTATTCAAAATGTGTTAACTTTTGTTTAGTTACATATTTTGACACAGCAAACTAAAAGTTCTCTTGATTTATTTACGTTGCCTGATACCAGGTTCAACCATATCCATGCAGTTGACCCACTTTTGCTATCCAAAGACTATAGATACATTTTAACTTGCATAGATAAATTCACTGGGTTGTCAGAAGATTTCCCAGTGACTAACCAAACTGCTGAAATTTTGTACTCTGGATGGATTGCTAGATTTCGAGTACCTGATATTGTAACAACTGATTATGATATGTGGTCATGTATTAAAGAAGATATTGAATCATCACCAGCTGAAATGGTGTATGGAACTTGCTTGAAACTTCCAGGAAAATTTCTTTGCAATTCTTCTTCAAATATGGTTCCTGCAAAAGACTTTGTTGACAATCTTCATCATCATATGCAACTTCTTTGATTCCGTTTGTTAACACAGAAGTAAAAGTACTGTTTTTATGTCTGTGCTCGAAGAACTGTAGCTAGGGCTTTTAGCCCCCGGGAAAAACTGCAGATCTTGCACCCTCTCCTGTTTGCCAAGAGAAGAAAACATTTCGTTCTAAAAATTTGCAGTATCAGTTTGGCGCTCACTGGAAACTGCGCACGGGGACGAATGTCCCTCTTGCCCCCCGCCCTCTATCTGCTTCCCTGAAAGCTGCCTGTATAGAGGCGCGTGAGTATCTTTTTGCCAAGGTATGGAAAGCATTAAGACGCCGAATATGCATTCTTCCAAGGAGGAGTCTGCTTTACTGCGTAGGTATTCATATTCATCATGTTATTGTTAAATCAGTTAGTAAACCCTTAGAAAGAAATAAGGTACACAATATGGCCAAGCTTCAAACAACAGATCGTAGCTATCATCAAGCAAGTAACTTCGTTAGGATGGTCAGGAAGTGATAGTTCTCTCTGTTGCAAAAAGATATATGCACCCAGAAAAAACTGAACTACAACTACGAAATGTGGCATACAAATTTAGTTTGCCGAGGTGTGTAAATGATTAAACTTGCAGCATCAAACAGCATTGTGGAGCGATACAACGCTCATCTGAATTGCGCAGCTGGTATAATGTGATAAAAAGGTAGGTGCAGCGAATGACAGCATTTATAACTACGCTTGATGGCTTGGATACATGACATTGTAACGGTGTGGTGTATAATCGTATAGAATCATAATATTGAATTATTCATGAGTAATCGTACGGAATCATTGTATGGAATTATTTATTTGTATAGTATTTCCAATGTGCAAGTAAAATTGTACTGTACATATCTTATTTTTGAATTGCTTGCTAGTAATGTGTAACATCATTTCAGTAATAAGCACCTGTATGAAAAAAAATATTATTTTGATGACAAAATGGCATATATGATTAATAATATGAATAGTATTATCATTAATTTAAGTAATAGTATTGAATCATTTTATATTTATAGTAAATCATTGTTCTAATATTCGCATATAATCATTGTTTTGAATCATTGCATTTTAGAAATTGTAAAGAATTAATGTTTTTTTATAGTGTATTTATAGTCTAAGTGCAATTATTCATTTAACTGTATTAATATCCAATTTTAATATAATAACTGTGTCTTTAGTAGTAAGCTGTAATATAAAAGTTAACAATGACATTCAGAATATTAGAGACTTATGTGAGATCTAAATATTTTTATACTTCTCTCCACTATAAATTTTTTAAGCTGGCAATGTATGAAATATAAGCATTTGTATGTTCTTGGGTTTTTTTGTATACTGAGTTTAAATGCTGAATTTTGCATTAGTAAATTCATGTTGACAATGTCGTCACTTATCAATCACAACAGTATAATATAATCATTATGTATGATATATCTTCTTTATGTATTGAATTGTAAACTTTATATGTAACTTGCTAAAATTACTTGCTAGGGTATTGAATTGTAATCTTATGTGTCACTTGCTAAAGTTTTGTTCATAAGTACTGTGTTCACACAGATGTAACCATTTTTAATATCTATATTTTGTAATACTAATCAATGTGCCCTATGAGTGGATCTCGTGTGGCTCTAACATGAGTCAGCTTTAGATAAGGGTGGACGTGGCGCTAAACCAATTAACCATAATGGTAAAGGGGTGGTGCCCACGTCCTCCGTCACTAAACTAAACAATGTGGTGTGTGGTGTATTTAATTATGGCAAAGCACACTAGGGCTATCTGCCTAAGGGGAGGGATGCCTTCGTGGAGGACTTTCTAAGGGAAACTGGCTCGTATACACGTTACACATGGGGAAAACCAC